GCTCCTCATATCCTTTTGGGGAAATAGTCACAGGTATTGGATAAAACCTTAACAAATATTGGAGAAAATACTTTTCTGACTCCCTTATCTAAATTAATTTCACTCCTTCCCTCACTTCTATTCTCCTTACCTGTTTGATTTTTCCTTATAGCAAATATCACTACCTGACATAACCTTAAAAATAAGGTTGGCTTGGGGCGCCTGGGTGGCTCAGTCGGTTGAGCGTCTGACTTCAGCTCAGGTCATGATCTCACAGTTCGTGGGCTTGAGCCCCGCATCAGGCTCTGTGCTGACCTCTTGCTCAGAGTCTGGAGCCTGCTTCAGATTCTGTGTTTCCTTCTCTCTCTGCCCCTCCCCCACTCGAGGCTTTGTCTCACTCTGTTTCTCAAAAATAAATAAATGTAAAAAAAAATTAAAAAAAAATAAGGTTGGCTTATTGGCTCAGTCGGTTAAGCTTCCCTCTTGATCTCTCCTCAGGTCTTGATCTCAGGGTGGAGAGTTCAAACCCCGCATTGAGCTCCATGCTGGGCATGAAGACTACTTAAAAAAAAAAAAAAAAAAAAAAAAAAAAAAAAAAAATCAACCAGTCAGTTATTTTACCAGCAAAAATGGGTTCGTTTAGAATAGCAGAGAACTGTGATTTGGGGCGAGCAAGCAATGGCAAAACCATAGGCAAGTCTGAGAACAAAGGAGAGGAAAGCTCTTCTACGGAGTAAAGTGGGGGGAGTTAGGAGGGCTGTTTTAAAGGAAAGTACTTTGGCGTTAATTGGAGTGCAAAGTATACTAGCTTTTCATTGGCTTAGTTGTGACAGCCTCTCATTGGCTGGGTGGTTGCCTGGGGAGGAGAAAAGCTTTTCTTCCTCCTTGGGATGGTAAACTGGTATCCATTTGGAATGTTCCTAACTTCCCGTTCATTCTGCAATTGTGCATTCTCACACTTGTAGGGTGTGAGAGCTCCCCCTGCTGGCCTCCTGACTCCATTTTAAATAAAGTTTCCTTTTATTAATTTTCACAGTAGAATGAAATTTCTATGAGAATGGGGACTTTGTTTTGTCCACTCTTGTGTTTTCAGTGTCTTGAACATGCCTTGAACCATTATATAGTGCTACTCAGAAAATGGTGTTTTTTTTTTTTTAATTTTTTTCAACGTTTATTTATTTTTGGGACAGAGAGAGACAGAGCATGAACGGGGGAGGGGCAGAGAGAGAGGGAGACACAGAATCGGAAACAGGCTCCAGGCTCTGAGCCATCAGCCCAGAGCCCGACGCGGGGCTCGAACTCACGGACCGCGAGATCGTGACCTGGCTGAAGTCGGACGCTTAACCGACTGCGCCACCCAGGCGCCCCAGAAAATGTTTTTTTAAATGAATGATCACATTGCTTCTGGTTTTGGACAAAATACACATATATGGTTGAAAAGTGAAAAGCACAAAGTTAGCACCCCAGAAGTGGCAAAATGGGAATATACAAAGAAATTGATTTCTTGATGACCTTGTTGAACTGATGAAATAACCAGTTCTGGGACTGTCCTACCTTTGGACCTCTTGTTAATGTTGGCAAATACCCTCCCCTCCCTTCAGGTACTTTAATTGGGTTTTCTGGTTTTTGCAGCCTAGAACATTGTATTTCATACAGAACCATTTAACTCTTAAATTACATTAAAATTAAAAATAATAGGGGCGCCTGGGTGGCGCAGTCGGTTAA